CCCATACAGTGTAAAGCGGTCTAGTTTAGTTCTATACTCCGTAAATCTAAGAGGACCGTTAGCAAAGGACGTTTCCGGAACGAAGATTGTGTCTACCATACTAGTACGGAGTACGGAGTACTTGTGTATCAAACAGGATCTCCGAACTACCCGATCATCTCCCCATACTGTTGGAGTTCTAGACGCGACGTTAGCATACTAAACTAGTAACCCTACAAGCCATCCATGGTTAATGTACCACAAATAGGAAACTGAACCTCGGCCGACACAACGACAAGCGATGAAATGGAGCCAATCGTATGAACGGTTCAACATCGTAAAAAGTATGACCCCAAAAAATAAAAATTACCATGGTCTCTGACCTCATTATGATGCTGTCTCGGTTTCCCCACATCCTGCGGGTTATATAAATTGGGCGAACCACGCTAACAACATGAGGTTATTCAAGATCAACTTCATGCTATAATCTTGTGCACATCTACTATATACCTCTGCAACTCACGTATACTTTCTACAAAGCTACCTGATACGCCACTATGGGCTGTGATTGCGGAAATACCTGTGGCTGCTCCGGCCCCCAGAGTTGCACTTGTGGCCAGAACTGCCAGTGCAAGAACTGCGGAGTAAGTATAGCTATAGGTTATCCTGTGTTATACATCACTGATTCTTTGTAAAGAAGTAATGTACTCGCCCGCACTTGATTAAGGCGAGAAATCCGATCAAGCTGATGATGTTGAACGAAGGCGATGGAGACGAATTGGAATACTGTCTAAGCGTGATTTTGGACATGATGTTGAAATACTACTTAATACACTCTCCTTAAAACGGTCTACCGTATATTGTTTCATATATATACATATAATTCTAAAATTCGTATAATCCCAAAGCACCACATCTATGTGGAGTTCCTCTGCTCCAGTGCCGCTTGAGATGCTTTTAGAGCGCCCGTGATGCTGAAGCATACAAATGGCGATAACACGTACATCGCCTGCAATGATTAGCAAGAAACCTTGGGCGGGCCCACATATTTCCTGACTTACAGACAACGATTTGGCAATAGCCATCTTCTCCAGCTCCGAAATCTGAGCCAACTCGGCCAATCCGGATATCACCAATGCCGGAGGTCCAGCCGGCATGAGCATCAAACTGAACCAGAGAATAGGATCAGTTAACACAATATTGGTATTCTTAGCCAAGCCATATATAACGGAGATACTGAGTCTATATATATCATTCGTTAGCATCTCGCAGTCATGCGACCCCAATCCCAGAAAACCTACGCAGGCCATATCACTAAACGAACGAGAAAAATCGTCCCAATCGCCTCCAGAGGTATTCGCCCCGAATCACCACTAGTTTTCATCTTCTCAAAGCTGACGCCCAGCTTACATCCCACCACAAAGATCTGGAACGTCGTGAACAACTTGCCAATATTCTTGACACTCGACGTCAGCCAAGCGTTGAAGATCCCGCCGTCCTCGTATTTATTGAAGAACGCTTTATGCAACTGCGGCACCAGACCCAGAACCACACCGATCACGGTACAGCCGATCGCAACATCGGCAAAGGGGGACTCAAACGGGGCCATAAGTCTCTGTCGGATGCGCTTGGGGAACATGGATGAAATGCGCTGGGTTCCGTGCCGGATACTGTTGGAGATGTTGCGGCGGGCTTTGTGCGCTCGCTGGGGAAGAAGGGATGTCTCCTCGTCGACGTGGTGTTCAGCGGTGCCATTTTGCGTTTCGGGATCTGTGTCGTCTGCTTCTTGATTCTCCGAATCGGTGGACTCGTTGCCGTGCTGGAGTAGCTTGGGACCAACGACGTAACCGATCGTTTTACTAACTACAGCGCAGAGTAGAAAGTAGCTCTGGGCACGAGAAATAGCCTCAGACTCGGTGTCACCGTCCTTAATAAGCGGCTTTAGACTGCCCACGCTTTCCAGCGATTGCAGCAAGAGGAGCGGCAGGGATGTCGTGTTGTTGAATGCGCAGGCAGGCGTCACCCAGTGCGGGAGCTTCAGTCCCTTGGAGACGAAATATGCTAGGCCAATCGAGACACTGGTGTAAAGAATGGACCAAACTGGCAATGCAGAGGTTATTATCAATTTCCGAGATGGTTCGGGGGAGCAGTACTGAGAACGGGGATGTAGTTCAACGCATTTCCTAATTGCAGCTGTTCGCCTAGATTGATGATGATTAAAGCGGGGAGAAACAGCTTCACTCCTAGTCCAGCCATATCATTGATTGAGTGCTCCTGAATTAATCGTAGCCTTTGCGCTGCGACCCCGTAGCTCATGGTCAGCAGAACGGAGACGCAAGCTTGTAAGGCGCCCACCAACGGCACGACGATACCATCATCGACCATGATAAGTCCTCGGGTTAGAGTTAACGGATCAGTTGAAATTGAATCTAAATTTTCATGCAGGAAAACCGATTAGTTCTTGAGGTTATTTAATGTTTCTTTCTTCTATGGCGTCATTGTGGCGTGACCCAGCCGAACAAGGACTCAATAAGTGGACCATGTACTGAAGATGCTGAAGATCTTGTCTAGATCATCCTGAAGACCTTCAAGGTTGGTTCCTGGACCTATTAAAAAGGTTTGCTATCTCTCCAGGCACACGAGACCTGTTTCCATATTCAGATATAAGGAACTAGTCGCTATCATTATCATGAGACGAGAATGGATACAGTAGACCCAGTAAATTCCCCTTGACAGAACATTGGCCGCACCGTTTCTTCAATAAACCTCTGGGATGAATGCAGCCGGAACAACAATGGGGGCCAGCACCCTGAATCCATAAATAGCCCCGCAAAACAGGGCCACTCCAGCAAGGAGCGCAGTGAGAAGACCTAGCTGTCCCAGAGTCTCTACACCGCACCATGCCGGTTGGGACACCCTGCGTCTCCCTAAACGCGTTGTGCGACTGTAAAACGGTACGTATTTGAATTCGAAGAAACTTTCGCCTCCTAGTCCATCTTTCTTGTCCATAATGAGGCTATAATAGAGTTTGCGACGTAACTAGACATGGTCAATACATGGGTGAATGGGGTTGTTTTCTGGGACACCTCCACAAACAGAGGATAATCAGGACAAAGTCTACCTTAATGAAAGCTTGATCGAGCATCGGAAACACTCGAATTCCATAGCACGTGGCCATGACCATTATACAATGCCCATACACGAGTGCTTGGTAGTATAAAGAGGGACGCGGAAGGTCAAGTCTATCAGATAGCTCGTCACCGTTGAGTTTTCTCGCCATAGCCTCAAGGTATTCCTTCGACGCATATGTGGGGGCTGTGTTTTCGAGGCCAATAATGATGTTCTGCGCCAGTATCCTACCAGTATCGGTTGGGCCTAACTCTGACACCGAGATCGACTCCATCATCGCTCGTGCCCGAGCCGTTGTCTCGAAGCACTCCGTTGGTGTGCCCATGTAATACGCGACAAGTCTCCAAAGGGCAATATAATCGTCAATTTCCTGGTTCCTCAAAAAGATACCTTGTCGTGGAAGCCCAAGGAAGACCACACTCGTTGAGAACGTGTGGATAGTTCCAATGCAATCCAAGTCGTTAATAGGAATCCCGTATTTCTTGATGTCGTAGTACTCGGGTCTGTATTTGACAAGGCTCAGCACCCTACGACGGACCGATCCATGTAACAACCGGACTCGGACGGAGGAGATATGACCTTTACCCCCAGGCTTTATCGAGTCCAATGATAGGGACACCTGAAGGATGTGCTGTAGAGTTTCCAGCAGCCTGCGCCGTACAACGTCCGCCGAGAAACCTCCAGTCCGGGCCAAGGTCTCAACAACTCGGGGGGAACCCCTACACTAGCATGTCAGTCCTAACTCAGGTATTCCTTTTTCAGGAGACGAACATTCCGCCGAGGAGGCTTTGAAAGCCGAGCTATGAACTCCATGAGTGGGACTACGCGCTAGAACAGTTGAACCATGCGCCGACTTACTACATTGAGAATCGGTGTTCCATAGCGGAAGAACACTTCTTGACCCCGTTTAATTTGTTCCCACTCGACCCAGTCCGGGACGGTGTTGACCTCAGACCACAGTTCGTCGAGCTTTGGATCGTCTTTTGCGTGCTTCTCCAGCAGAGAGTAGAGGTCTCTCTTCGGTGTTCGAGCGTCGGGGCTCCCTGTGCTCTTTGCACGGGCACTTCCTGGGGGTGAGATCTCATCCAGGCGATCAAGACACTCATCTACAAGTTTGTCATAGTTGAGCATGATGGAGTGCAACTGCTCCACTGGAGAGTGAAGGCCGTCGATCCATTCGAACGTATAGCCCCAGCATTTGTAAATCTTTGCATTCGTGCTCCTCTGTTGGGCCATATTGATGATACCCAGTACTGATGAAATGATGCTAAAGAAACGTCGCGAAGCACACAATATGTATCAAATCCGATGGCAACTCAGGTAAATATGGGTAGACCAGTTACACCTGCAGCAGCCTGCATGTCGGTCTGTTTATAGAGGGGTGCACCTACTTTATAAATAAATGACACCACGAGGTAGCAGTCATCCCTGAATAAGTATTCTTAATCATGATCTCTAATGCAAGCCTCGGATGCTGCACTTCCCCGCACATCTATGCTCCATGGCGGTCCTATCCCATTACTCGCTGATCCGCCTTCACGTGTCCCGGTATATCAAGACGTTGAACCACAAGATAGCCGATGTTGATCCATGGACCCTTGATCCGCTTGCCGGCACTTTGTTTGTCCAGCAGGAAGCTTTACAAGGGACATACACGATATGTTACAGGTTGACCAGTACAGATCTGCGGATCACAGGTCATCTCTGTACTTGAATATCATAGCTATGTCAGCACTCGGAAGTTGAGGTTTCCGAATTATAGCTGGTCTCCAGATCAAGTTAATTATTGTATACCGTTCCTTTGTTAGCGAAATCGTCAGCATAGTAATTTCTACGTCCCGTGCATAGTTTCTGGGCGGCCAGAAGAATACCCACTGAGAAACTATGACCAACAACTTAAGTTCCGTCCACTTGATGAATACTCGAGCCCGTGTCTGTGCATATGACCAGTCCTTGAAAGAACACTAGACCCAGTGAGTACTCCGTAACCTATCCATTTATGGAGCCTAGACACGGGGTGCTGAGGAACTCTTCGCAGCGCCTCATCGATTGATCCGACGGAGCTAACGAAGTTGGGCGATCGTCAAATAAATCCCACCCTTCCATCAGGCACTTGCATGTAACACCACAGCACCGCCGAATGTTAGGCTTAGGCGTGCGTCGGTTGAAAACACGGCCCTCCTTGCTGGATCTGATAGAGGCCAGCTGCAGTAGTGGTGGTGGGAGTGACCAACCATTGTTGTTATCGTCGTCATCACCGCCCACGGGCATCGACCAACTGCCACCGCTCCCCGACTCACCCACTTCCCCGTCTTCCAGCTCCAGCTCCAGCTCCAGTTCCTTCCCGACCCCTACCACCACCTTCAATCCTTCTCCCTCCTCCTCATCTGTTCACCCTCCGGCTATTCGCATTATGGCCCCCTCCGGAAAGGGCCCTCAAGCTGAGGCCCACCATGGCTCCGTCTTCTCTGTCTCCGGTCCCGTCGTCGTGGCCGAGAACATGATCGGCTGTGCCATGTACGATTGGTATGTTGTCCCACCCCGCCATCGGCATGAACCCTAGTCTCACTTTTGCGATGGGTTGTACTTCCCTCATCGGAGTTGGCTTTCGATTGTGCTAAAGTTGTCCCCTGAATCCAGTGTCGTGTCGGCAAAGATCAGCTCGTCGGTGAAGTTATCCGTCTCGATGGCGATAAGGCCACCATTCAAGTCTACGAGGAAACTGGTACGCTTTCGCATCCATTTTGCGCCCGACTCGGATTGACAGTCTAACATCGCTCCAACTCCGCAGATGGTGTGACGGTCGGCGACCCTGTCGAGAGGACGGGTAAGCCCCTAGCGGTGGAACTGGGTCCTGGTTTGATGGAAACGATCTACGACGGTATCCAACGCCCCCTGAAAGCGATCTACCACCAGCCAAAGGAATCTACATCCCCCGTGGTATTACTGTGAACGCGCTGGATCGCGAGAAGAAGTGGGACTTCACGCCCGGTCAATACAAGGTGGGCGACCACATCACGGGAGGTGACGTCTGGGGTTCCGTGTTCGAGAACAGCTTGATGAGCGACCATAAAATCCTTCTCCCGCCCCGCGCTCGGGGTACCATTACCCGGATCGCAGAGGCTGGAAGCTACACAGTCGAGGAGAAGCTGTTGGAGATCGAATTTGACGGCAAGAAGACCGAGTTTGGTATGATGCAGACATGGCCTGTTCGTGTGCCCAGACCTGTCAACGAGAAGGTTCCATCCGACGCACCCTTCATCGTCGGCCAGAGAGTGCTGGACTCTCTGTTCCCTAGTGTGCAGGGTGGTACTGTCTGTATTCCGGGTGCTTTTGGATGTGGTAAGACTGTCATTTCGCAGTCCGTGTCCAAGTTCTCCAACAGTGATATCATCGTCTACGTTGGTTGTGGTGAGCGTGGTAACGAGATGGCTGAAGTGTTGATGGACTTCCCCGAGGTATGCGATTCTACCTCACCTGCTCCCGCCATGATTTCTTCGGTGCTAATCTGATAATCGCCCCTTAAAGCTTTCGATCGAGATCGATGGTCGCAAAGAGCCTATCATGAAGCGTACATGCCTGATCGCCAATACTTCCAACATGCCTGTCGCCGCGCGTGAGGCCTCCATTTACACCGGTATCACCATTGCGGAGTACTTCCGTGACCAGGGTAAGAACGTGGCTATGATGGCCGATTCCAGTTCTCGTTGGGCCGAGGCGCTTCGTGAACTTTCCGGTCGTCTGGGAGAGATGCCTGCAGACCAGGGTTTCCCCGCCTACCTGGGTGCCAAGCTTGCTTCCTTCTATGAACGTGCTGGAAAGAGTGTTGCTCTGGGAAGCCCCGAGAGAGTCGGCAGTGTCAGTATCGTCGGTGCCGTCAGTCCTCCTGGTGGTGATTTCTCGGACCCTGTCACTACTAGTACCCTCGGTATTGTCCAAGTGTTCTGGGGTCTCGACAAGAAGCTGGCCCAGCGAAAGCATTTCCCTTCCGTCAACACTTCGATGTCCTACAGCAAGTACACGACCGTCTTGGACAAGTTCTACGAGAAGGACTACCCCGACTTCCCCCGCCTGCGTGACCAGATCCGTGAGCTGTTGACCAAGTCCGAAGAACTCGACCAGGTCGTGCAGCTGGTCGGTAAGGCCGCTCTGGGTGATTCTGATAAGATCGCATTGGATGTGGCTGCCATGGTGAAGGATGATTTCCTTCAGCAAAACGGATACAGTGACTACGATCAGTTCTGCCCTCTGTGGAAGACAGAATATATGATGAAGGCCTTCATGGGCTACCACGATGAAGCGCAAAAAGCTATTGCTCAGGGTCAAAACTGGTCCAAGGTTCGCGAAGCCACTGCCGACATCCAGACTGCCCTGCGGAGCATGAAGTTCGAGGTTCCGGAGAACCAACAAGAGGTCTCAGAGAAGGTTCGTAGTCATCTTCCTTGTTCTACCTACATTGGTGCTAACTCAGCGACTGCAGTACGAGAAGGTTCTTCAGACCATGTCAGAGCGATTCGCGTCGGTGTCGGATGAGTAAATGGATGTAGGTGGACATAGAGAGGACGTTGACAGACGGGCCGGACTGTTCGGTTGCCTGTAGCATAACAAATTCCCATGTTCTGTAGTTCGTGCAGTTTATTTCTGTTTTAGCTTTTGTGAGAATTCATCAGCCACTGAATCGATTGCCTGATCGTAACTGTTGTTCCTCTTCATCACTTAGGCAGCATTGTTTGGCCGCCTTTGGGTGGCCAATAGCACATGACGCGGCCGCCTTATTGGGTATCGTGACCTTTTTATGACCTCTGCTTTCTGCGCTGTCATAACCTTGACAATAAGGACAGTCTCTGTTGCAAAGTCACTCATAAAACTCACTTTGAACGCCAGACATCTGTTGTCCCTGACCAAACGTGGGTGGTTGGGTATACACAACTGGACTTCGGTTCTTATCGCTGGTTATCGTTGGATTTATTGAATTCTGGACCGCAAGCGAAAGTCAACCACTTGGCCGCTCAACCTTCCCGCTCTCTCCTCTTCCCACTTCCACCTCCGCAAGTCGGATAATACAGTCTACCTGCCCAAATATATTCATTCTTCTCTGTTCTACCCCTTTTTTTCCGCTCTTTAGATTTTCCTCTTCCTTTGGAGCGACTGTCTCTTGCCTTCGCTGCCAGCCATGGCAAGCCCGACCTCGTGCGCAGCCCCTGGCCCCTCGTGCTCTATATCCGACAGTATGGATTGACTGACGGATGGAAACAGAATAAATGTCAACGATCCGAGCTTGATCTCGCTGGTCAATAAGCTCCAGGATGTCTTCGCGACAGTCGGAGTACGTATTATCAAGCTCTCAGGACGCTTCTGTTCTCTCAACCCCTCGCCGCGACTGACACCGCCTGTTCTGTTTAGGTTCACAACCCCATCGACTTGCCTCAGATTGCTGTCGTCGGTTCACAGTCCAGTGGTAAGAGTTCGGTGTTAGAGAATATTGTCGGACGGGATTTGTAAGTGACTATTGCTGTGCTGGTGGGAATTCGACGCAGGTGACTGACGGCTTCACCTCATCTTAGCCTCCCCCGTGGGTCCGGAATTGTCACTCGGAGACCCCTCATTCTTCAGCTTATCAACAAACCCGCAGCTCAATCGAATGGAGTTAAGGAGGAGAAGTTGGATACGACGGATAGCGCCGCCAATCTGGATGAGTACGGAGAGTTCCTGCACATTCCCGGCCAGAAGTTCTACGATTTCAACAAGATTCGCGAGGAGATTGTGCGCGAAACGGAGTCGAAGGTCGGTCGCAATGCCGGTATCTCCCCTGCGCCTATCAACCTCCGTATCTACTCGCCCAACGTCCTGACCCTCACACTGGTCGACTTGCCCGGTTTGACTAAGGTCCCCGTCGGTGACCAGCCCAAGGACATTGAGAAGCAAATCAGGGATATGGTTCTGAAGTACATCAGCAAACCTAACGCGATCATCCTTGCGGTCACCGCGGCCAACCAAGATCTTGCCAACTCCGATGGTTTGAAGCTGGCACGGGAAGTCGACCCGGAGGGTCAGCGTACAATTGGTGTCTTGACCAAGGTCGATCTGATGGACGAGGGAACCGACGTCGTGGATATTCTTGCGGGCAGGATTATCCCGTTGCGCCTGGGTTATGTGCCAGTGGTCAACCGAGGTCAACGTGATATTGAGAACAAGAGACCCATCTCGTACGCTCTAGAGCATGAGAAGAACTTCTTCGAGAGCCACAAGGCCTATCGGAACAAGTCTTCGTACTGTGGAACGCCGTATCTGGCGCGGAAGCTGAACTTGGTACGTTCGCCCGGTGGGGATGGGGGCAATCCAGGTTGCTAACTGTTCGTAGATCCTTATGATGCACATCAAGCAAACCCTGCCCGATATCAAAGCGCGGATTTCGTCCTCCCTTCAGAAGTACTCCGCCGAACTTGCGCAGCTGGGAGACTCCATGCTCGGCAATAGCGCTAACATCATCCTGAACATCATTACAGAGTTCAGCAATGAATATCGCACGGTGCTGGAGGGTAATAACCAGGAGCTGTCCAGCATTGAGTTGTCCGGCGGTGCTCGTATCAGCTTCGTGTTCCACGAACTCTACTCCAACGGTATCAAGGCGGTGGATCCTTTCGACCAGGTTAAGGATATTGATATCCGGACGATTCTCTACAACTCTTCGGGTTCATCGCCTGCGCTTTTCGTTGGAACCACTGCCTTCGAGTTGATCGTCAAGCAGCAGATCAAGAGGCTTGAGGACCCCAGCACGAAGTGTATCTCCTTGGTCTATGACGAACTGGTCCGCATCCTAGGACAGCTCCTGAACAAGCAGTTGTTCCGCAGGTATCCCATGCTGAAGGAGAAGTTCCACGCCGTGGTCATCAGCTTCTTCAAGAAGTGCATGGAGCCGACCAACAAGATTGTTCGCGACTTGATCAACATGGAGGCGTGCTACATCAACACCGGTCACCCTGATTTCCTGAACGGACACCGCGTACGTATACCATCTGGTTTTGATTATGCGCGCTAGTTCTTAGATACTGACTTGGGCAGGCCATGACTATTGTGAATGAGCGCCAAGCCGGCAGTAAGCTACTCAGGTTGACCCGAAGACGGGCAAACCTCTTCCTCCCCCCCGGTCGAACAGCCCGTCGGTCGATCTCGGCAATGCGGAAAGCAGCAGCGGCTCTGGCTTCTTCGGCAGCTTCTGGGCTTCGAAGAACAAGAAGAAGATGGCGGCCATGGAGCCCCCACCGCCAACCCTGAAGGCGTCGGCCTCCTTGTCGGAGCGCGAGAGCACCGAAGTTGAAGTTATCAGTATGTGTAGTGTCTGGCGTACCGGGAACAAGCACTAATGATAAGCAGAACTTCTCATCACGTCTTACTTTAACATCGTGAAGCGGACCATGATCGACATGGTCCCGAAGGCCATTATGTACATGCTTGTCCAGTATGTGTCTCCGTGCCCTATCCCAGCTCCCTCCGACTAATGTCTTCTAGATTCACCAAGGATGAGATGCAGCGCGAACTCCTCGAGAACATGTACCGCAACGGCGAACTGGACGAGCTCCTCAAGGAAAGCGACTACACGGTGCGGAGGCGCAAGGAGTGCCAACAGATGGTGGAGAGTCTGTCCCGCGCCAGCGAGATTGTCAGCCAAGTCCAGTAATCTTTTCGAATGGTGTCCGATGTGTTCGAGAATCCTGGTTTTAGATACGATTTCAGTCTTTCGTCGGTCTCGCTTCAGCTGGTTCGCCTTTTGGGAGGGATTACTTTGTCGTTGCTCGCAGCTATGCCCCATGCCTTATGCTATATGTCCTGATACGAGCGTTTTTCCCACGGAGCCCATTCTCGGATGTCAAGTGGACAAGATTCATCTCACGAATTTGTATTGCCTAATGATTGTTGTTCGTTCTTAGAATACAGAGCAGTTTAGTCTAGTGGGTTGTACAGTATATGTATATACAGTTCTAAAATCGAATAGAGCTTTCCTTAGGTCCGACTCTCATAACCTGAGTCCCACCATAGATATATAAAATCTAATCCCGCCCCTGATGCCGATAAGAATAATACCACCCTTCCCTCCCCAGATCCTCCCTGACCCGATAATTCTCCTCCGCATCGCGAACCAACCCCATATCAACATCCACCACACAAACGCCTTCCTCCCACCCCAGAGACCCTACAACCCCGACCCCCGGCATCGTCACCCTGGATAATCCCAAAAACCCATCCCCCTCCGTCTGCCCCGCCGCATTCGCAAACACAACCCCACAGGTATTCTCAAAACACCTCGCCGTCAGCACCGACTCCAGAAACAGCTTCTCGCAGTCGGGATTCCTCGCCCGGAGCGCAGCTGAGGCATCGTTTTTCGTCCCTGTCAAGGCCTACCATTAACCAAGTCCCAGCCTCCAAACAACCCGACAACCGACAACCACAATACCCAAATAAATACACACACAGAGAGAGAGAGAGGGAGGAAGGGAGGGAGGAAGGGAGAGAACATACAAAACGTAGGAACAACAATCATCTCCGCCCCGGCAGCGATCAACTCCCTAAACGCCTCCGGAAAGGCCAAGTCCCAGCAGATAAGCAGCCCGACCTTGCCGATGGGGGTATCGAAGGCAACGTGTGGATCCGACGCCGAAGAAGTCAGGTAGGGGCGTTCCGGGTGCCAGATGTTCTTTTTCCGGTAGGAGGCGAGGATGCTGCCGTCGTTGGAGATGAAGTAGGCTGTGTTGTAGAGGATGGGGTCGGTGGAATCGGTACTGGTAGTCGTACTGGTGGAGGAGTGGTTTTCGACGATTGTACCCGGGACGATGCAGATGTTGAGCTCCTTGGCGAGGGCTTGGTAGGATTGGAGGTATTTGGTGGTTATCTGGGAGTCAGTCTGCGGCAGGTAGAGCGGGTTTGTTGGGGGGAAGGCGTTTAGATGGTACCTTTTGTTTTCTTTTGGTTAGTTTGGTTGGTTGGTTTGGAGGGTGTTGTTTGAATAAGGGAGGGCAGTGTACTCTGGGAGAACGGCTAGTTTGACGCCTTGGGAGGCTGCTTCGCGGATGTAGGTGCATGCCTTTTGGTGGTTCTCGTCCATGGCCAGGTCCTTGGGAGGTTAGATGTAGGGTTTCTTTTCTTCGTGATGGTGGGGTTCGGTACTTTGATGTGCCATTGGATTACGGCTATGCGGTGGATTGGTGCCATTTTGGGGGATTGGTGATTGGTGCGATGATTAGTATCTTGCAATGAGGAGTCGTGAAGAAGGAGGTGACGAAGAAGAAGAGGTAGTAGACGAAGAAGAGGTGTTGATATAAGTTGGAGTCATGATGGAGGAGGATCTGGACCGGTGGGGTTAGTTGGAGGAGGTTCTCCGAGGAAGTTGGGGTATATCAACCCTATGTAGACCTCATGCATCTTCGCCGTATATAGGGAGTTACTACTTGCGCCGTCTATCCATCACTTCGTCAATTTCGCAATAGAGCTATAATATGCGTCTATGATACATGTAGATCAATTGTTGCCCGTTGCCCTAGCCCGTTTGATAAAGAAGAGGACGTATACAAGAATATGTAGAAGCTTAATAGCTTTGGCCCATGGTGCAACATATCACAAACGGCTGGCTGTATAAATAACCACCTGGGGCCCTGGTATATCCTGTTCACTAGCATTCCCAATCTTCTCTCTTCTCTTGCAGTTCCCTCCGTCTCAGTCCAGCGCAATGTATCAGACTCTGACCCTTATAGTAGTGTACGTTGCAGCCCTAGCCGCTGCTCAACCACCAGCGAATCTACAACCAGCACAACTCGCAACCATAAACCTGCACCGCAGTTGCTCGCCCTTATTCCTTGAGTTCCCATTACGACCACGGCCAGCTGCCTTTGCGGGTTGGCCTGCCAAAAGGGACTCGTCGACCCCGATCGGATCCGCACGGCGCGCTACTCGACCGCCGACACCTGAGCCATTCCTGATAGGCAATTGCAGTACTCTGGACGGCCAGTTCCGGATGACCAATTTGTCCTTGAACAATTGTCTCGGGTGGCGAGACCAGGATAGCGGCGATTTGATTGCGGAGAACAGGTACTATATCGCCCTTACTTTGTGAGCGGTCGCGTTGGCTAATACGTCCCTAGTGGATTCGGGTTCGAAAGGGGCAGATGTCATGACTGTACCTATGCATATGACAGGGATGGATTTTCGGGGTTTCTTGCTTTCAAACTAGGCTGTATATGTCGGGAATCTATTCCGCCAGCATATAGAGAGTTCAAGACGCGTAAGTTACTCTGTCTCACTGCTTGGACGGGTTCTCGTGCTGAAAGACCGTATAGCTGGAGTGATAACGTATGATAACGCATCTGGTCGTCTTCGCTGCCATGATCACTTTGGGACCTGAAGGGTAGTCAGGGGCGGTCACTCTGTATACTATTTCGGGTTTGGTTTCGAGTTCGGTTTCGAGTTCGGTTCACGGGGCCGATGGTATTTTGGATTGCTTTACTCTGGGGTACTGGCTATCCTGGCATTTCGGTCTTGTTTGAGCTTGAGATTCTGGGCTTATTTCGGTTGGTAGTTCTTCGTGATGTAATAGAAGCTCTTCATCAAGCTGTAGTTCGCAGTTCTCAACGTTGGTTCTCACTGGACTGAATTCTCCTCTTTGTTTCATGCTAGTGAACACCAATGAGAGGATCGTTGAGAGCGCGTGGCTCAAGATATTGGACAGATGCTGCTGCTTCGCTCTTTTTGATAGCTTAGCCCTAGCGCGAGCCACGTTGCCATGGAAGTGTGGCTTTGAGCAAGGCCCGAGAGCGACGGTGTGTGCATAGCGTCAACTCCTATTTCCCTTTGTGTTATCCGAGGCAGGCGTACTCCGTAGACCGTGCCCGTCGATGGTCTAGAATAGGCCCCGATCTCGCCTTTAACCTACCGTATGAAGATGATGGATGTCTAAATCAAGGATTCGCGCTCGGGTCGGACGTTGGTCGTTTCACATGGATAACCACACCGAGTCTTATCAGAGTTAATTCGTATCCTCTATAGAGAGTCGGTATGCAGGTGAACGCTCAGGTGCTTAGGGCACAAAGTACTATTGTTGACCGTTCTATCTGTCCATGGACGGATAGGATTATTTGATACCCACTATTCTGAAACACGATCGGGTCAATGCATGGACTCTAGTCTGGATGGTGAGTTGTCTACCGTATGGAACGAGGAAGGTGGCTGTGATGAGTCAAGAACACATTTTCAGCTCGCCATTTCAGATGAGCCCAGCAGGTGACTTGATGGCCCTTGCATGGTGGCCTCAGGCTACCCTGTCTTTTCAACTATATTTAGAATGAATACCTAACTATTACCGTATTATCCGGAGGTGGTGTTTAGCCTGGACAAGCGAATTCTAGGCAAAATGACATCATAAATCGTCAGTGTTCATTGTTCTTGTCAGAGAAGAAAGAATGAACATCTCAGGGAATGCTATAGGGTAATCTGCAATACCAAGAAGCAAAGTTGACCCACCGACAAACCTCGGGCTCCGCTGCCGAGACTATCGGGCATGTGAGACTGAAGCGATATCCACCGCTCACACATGACCTCTGCTATCACCACATTGCAGACTTCAACAACATCGTAGCCATGGCGCCCTTGACTGCCGCAGAGATTGTGGAGCACCCCGCGTATGACTCGGTGGCGTGGAATCTCTCTCCCACCACCTCAGGAACCTGTCCAGTAGCGCAAAACAGACGCGGCGGCCCCTTGAACCTGTACTATGAAATCCACGGCACTGGACCTGCAAAGCTCGTCGTACGTTTCACCGCTCGTGTACATTCCTCCCCTTTTCTGCACATCAGCACTAAAGATGAATCATAGTGGATCATGGGGCTGAACGCCTCACACGACGATTGGAAGCGGCAGACCAAGTATTTCGGCCACCAGAACGCCGCCAAATACACCTGTTTGGTCTTTGACAATCGCGGTGTCGGGCGCTCCGACAAGCCCGTGAACTACTACTCCACGTCGGAGATGGCGCAAGATGCCGTCGATCTCCTGAGTCACCTGGGCTGGATCGACCTCTCGGCCCCCGCCACCCGATCGATCCATGTCATCGGCGCCAGTATGGGCGGCATGATCTCCCAGGAAGTCGGCATGCTCATTCCCGACCGTCTGGCGAGTCTCACGCTATGCTGTACGGCCCCGCGACTCGTCCGCACGGCCCCGTTCCTGGAGAACCTGCGCGAGCGCGCGAGCATGTTCATCCCCCGGCATGTGGACGTCGAGTTGGCGCGCCTGGGCTACACACTTTTCGGCGGGGATTTCCTCGATCAGCCCGATACGGAGAACGACGATCCGAAGAAGAACTTCCCGACCAGGCGCGACCGGTTCGCGGCCGGCCAGTTGAAGAAGCGGGAGGATCCCGATAGCTTTACGAAGAAGGGCTTCCTGATGCAGATTGTGGCGTGCTACTTTCATCAGAAGTCTCCACAGCAGCTGAAGGCGCTGGGAGATGCTGTCGGGCGAGAGCGCATTGCTGTTCTGCACGGCACGGAAGACCGCATGCTTACGTTCCGTCATGGGGAGATCCTACATGAGGAGATTGGCAAAGGAATCCTGTGGAAGGTGTATGAGGGCAGTGGCCATGTGTTGATGTGGGAGAATGAAGATGAGGTGAACCAGTTATTGGAGGAGCTGGTCGAAAGGACTTCCTGATCTGGAACAAATCCTTAGATGTCTGATCATGCTTATTAATTTATTTGTATACCAACTGTATCCTTCCGTATGTACATAAATGCGTGAGCAACCAGAGCGAGAAGAGTTCGAAAGCCAAAGACAAAAGAGGTCATAAGCAACCCTGGAAATATGCACGTTTACCTAATACGGTCTGCAAAGCTGACAGGGCGAGAGTGGAATGTGACCAACCATTCAGCCGCCGATATCATTTGCACTGAACACGAGCTCCAATCAACACCCTGCACATGAAACCAGCGCGTATATAAACATCAGCCTAACCACCATGAAGCCCATAATCTGGTTTTCTCTTTTCACCGCCGCTTTTTCTATGACCAACCCTCACCTCCCACAACACTCCAACATGTCCAGCGAAAACGACACCCTCTCCGAGGGGCAATACCACCGAGGCGGCGCAGACGACCTGCGCTCGCCATGTCCAATCATCAACTCCCTCGCAAACCACGGCTATATCGCGCGAGACGGCCGGAACATCACCGGGAGCCAACTCAAGGCCGCCCTGGAGCGCATCGGACTCGGCTTCGACACCGCCGGCGGGCTCGTGAAGATCGCCTTCCAAGACCATGTTGACCCACCCGCGGGCAGCCCACGCACGACCGCCAATTTCGGGCTCCGCGACGCGGGCCAAATTAACGAAGACGGGGACCCCGTGCTCAACCTCGACCAGCTGGGGCGTCCCCACGCCATCGAGCACGACGTCTCCGTTACGCGACAAGACCGCGCTTTGGGCGATTACGTCCACCTCAACCCGGACCTGTATCAGCAACTGCTCGCCTCTTCGGAAAACGGGACGTCCTTTTCTATTTCGGATGTGGGCAAACTGCGCAAGAAGCGGTTCGAGCAGTCGAAGAGCGATAACCCGGAGCTTGATCTGGACAAGAGGATGCATTACATCGCGTGCGCGGAGGTCGGCGGCATCATGGGTGTCTTCGGGAAGGGGCTCTACCATGTGCCGAAGGAGTATATCCAGGCGATCTTTGGCGAGGAGCGGTTGCCGTTTGACGAGGGATGGCGGCCGCGTTGGACGAAGTTGTATCTACCGGAGGCTGGGGCCGTGACTTTGGCTATTTCGCATTATGCGTGGCCGTTCTAGGTGGGGTTTGTTTGCTATGGTTGCGTGATGTCACTGGGCGGGGTTTTGCTATTGCTGTTTTGTATGACATTGAGTACTATGGGACTGTGGTTCGTTTTGATCTGGGGTGGTCATCTTTGAGGGTCCACCTGTGGCTCTGTATGAATGTTTAGCGACAGGGTTTATAGATGTAGGTTTCTGCAGGACATGATTATATAGTATGATAGATACCCAAGCTAGGACATGCAAGGAGAGAGGCCCTCAGTTCACACTCTTGCATTATTGGAATGGATGCAGACATGGCACAGGCAAAGTCTCACATTTAACTAGTACAATTGCAACCCCCGAAATAGATTTCCCTACAATACCAGAAACCTATCAAGGGTGCTGTGTGAGACATGTGTCAGTCGTAGCACCGAGAATACTAGTTGCTGTCAGGTGAGCGGGGATCATGTTGGACCAACGTTCGAGACCCTTGGCAGGTTTACATTCGATGGAACTAGACTTCTTTGTCTCAACTTCGGCTGTCCTTCTTTTCGTCGTCTCAGAGTGTGAAAGGTGATCGGATAAACTAAATATATATGTATAATGCCAGCTAAAAACCTGAGATACAGGAGGGGACATACTAGGAAGAGAGCCTATATAGAGATTATGATAGCGTGGGAATAGAAGCGTTAAAGCTAGCCATGTAGTCACTATGTAGGGCAGTACTAGTATATCACATTCCAAAACAAGACCGGTGGGTCTTCTCCGGATTTTTCTGGAAGGCAGAGACGAAATTCTAGAGAAAATGGAAACTATTACATACATTCTCAGATAGGTATCAGTAGATTCAGTACTACTACTAGTATTTTCTAGTACTACTGAGTACGGTACTGGAGTCCTCCGTGCCACTAGTGAGGTAATAGTATTGACGTGGCTTGCCCACCCAACACAGCCAATGGCTGTGAATCAATTGGATACAATTGTGGCGCATACGAGATAACGATAGAAACGGAGGATTTAAAACGTGTGTTCCTCTACTGGCTGCAATTGGATGACCAAGTATGTTGACAGGTCTGAAGATAAGGCAGATAGGTGATACGTGACTGACCCCTGTCATGTCGAAAGTTGAAAGGAGAAAA